TGAGTATTTTGCCGAAAGTGGTATGAGTACTCAACAATACCCAAGCATGAGTACTCAAAGTCGTACTCAGAGTACTTGTTACTCACTCATGAGTACTCATGTGAGTACTCAGTGAGTAAAAAAATGTGTGAGTACGTATGAGTACTCGTCCGGTTTTTCTATCAGAGTACTTTTTGAGTACTCACACTTGAGTACATTCACTAGGGTAAACATCAAATATAGAGGAAATGTAATCAATTCAGTTATCACGACCAATCCCATTACTTTCAAATCGATAGAAACTAGACGATAAGTATATTGACCCTGGTAATTCATGTTGATGAACAGGAGGTGCCAGAAACGCAGGGAAGAGAAAAATTCAATACCAACGAATGCATAGCAGCTTAATTGTCTGTATGACGAACTTTCATATGACTGTTTTTGATTTGCAAAGCTTCGGAGATGTAAAGATAGTCTAAAACTCAGGTTCTCAATTGTTCAGTACCATAGAGCACCAATTAGTTAACTATTGTGAAATTAACTAATTTAAGTTAAGTACCCCCCACCTTCTCAGTAATAGGGATTTTCGGTCAAAAAATCGGTTTTGACATACGCACATGGAAAGATAGTCTGAAGTGTCTACCTGCAGAATCTGTATCGCTTTTGATACAAAAGTGGTTTTTCGCGGATTTTGAGCAAGTTTTCTAGGAGTCTCGAAAAACCGGGTCTTCAAATAATAGTTTTTTCCTGGATACTTATGCAATTAAAATTTTTCTAAACACACAGATGTGTAGAGCAAACGTTTCTGATCAAAATAAGACCTCGCACAACTCTGTATCACCTTGCATCAAAAAGTTATAGGCACCTTCCTAGAAGTTCTAAAATTGAGTATTTCATACAGCGTTTTCTCTGGAAAACTCCTCTGCGGTAAGACTTGAAGACAAAAAAATTTTTTCATTCCCGTAACTGATTAAGCCGAACATTTATTGAAAATTTCGTCAAGATCGGATGTACGGTGTCGGAGATAATTTCTGAGGGGGTGTGTCCGTTAACGAGTTTCGAAAACTTTTAGGAAATTTTGATTGGAAGGTCGGATTAGAAAGCCACCCATAATAGAAGGCCATCCGCCGGGACACAGTAGAAGGACATGCCCTTCTGTTCTAGGGGATGGGGAAAGGTTTAGCCTAGTCTGGGTAGGCAGACACTGTTTCCATTTTTTGAGATCTCGCCGGTTCCAACCGTCACCAGGCTGTTCCACGTGTTCTCCACATATCGGCGCAAAGAATATCGCTCGTTACAAAGTTATTTGCAATGATGGCTAGAGGAGTATATAACAACGACAAAAAATAAGAGATTTCTAATTTGACTTGAGCTACAGTGTTCGTCGCAAGATGTCCTATGATCACTGTCACCCGTGACTATCTGCTAGTCTAAAAATAAAATGAAAATATCTATATGAGTACGTCTATGAGTACTTATGCTTGAGTACATTCACTAGGGTCAGTGATACTCCAATACCACTAATAAAGACTTTAAAAATTTGATTATCGTAGCGTATGATTCTTGGGAGGAAAGACAGAACTGCTGAGATTGTGCGGACTTTTCAACTCCATCGTGAACACTATGTTCCACTTTAGGAACAAGAAATTCTTGTGTTCTTCCACATCATTTACAACACAAGTCGCTTCATGTTGTACATGATGTGCAAGAACACAAGAATTTCTTGTTCGTAAAGTGGAACATAGTGTTCACGGTGGAGTTGAAAACGACTTGTGTCACGCATACGAAATCATGCATGTTGCCACAAGAACGCGTTTATTTAGTCCGTTTTATCTATTCCTAATCTTTAGAAGTAATGGCCACTTTGACCACATCATTTACCGATGTGCGGAGACACCGACCACTTCATCATATGCCTCATCAACGCAGTATTATGCCGTTACGTCGTGAAAGAACAATAGCGAGCTATGATAATCCTTTGTATTCCTCTGGATTGTCTGCCAACGCGTCTATGAACAATATGTTTTCTGGTGGTATGTGAGTGATCTCTAATAGTAGTGAAAAACTATAAAAATTGATTTTTTCATGAATTATTTAGAAAAACATTACACTCGACGTCAATCACGAGCTCGATCAGCAAAATCGAATGAGGTTAAGCAGAAACTAATTAAATTTATCTTACATTATAAAGCAATGTTTCATTTAGATATTTAGTATGATCAATCATAAACTTCAAACTGGGCTACGTGGTGTCAGACAGATGTTTCGTTCAAATGATCCATCTTGCCGCCTCGGTCACTTATCAAAGTAAACATTTAGAAATACTTATCTTTGCCAAATAAAATATAATCACTTCGTTTTAAGAGAAGCATTTCATCGTGTTCTGATCCAGTTATGTGGTTTTATTAGTACAGATGAATGGAATAAAGTATGTAAAATGTAAGTTGATTCAGTATTGTATCTGAATAAGAAAAATTCTAAATCTTCTCCTACATTATCAATCAAATTACCTTATTGTTGATGTGTGTCTCGTATAAGCTCTTTACTAAATTATATTACTTAAAAATATAGAAGCAGAAAATTGTTTCAATAACCATATGTCCTTGTCTATATTTACTTGTCAAACAGATGGATAGGTTTTTTTCTCGCTTCAGGTTTCACTTGAATGAGCGTGGAAATACAATTACATTCGAAGAATTTCTATCGTATTTTCCTGAAAATGAGGTATAGTCTGTACAATTTTACTAGTAGTAATCATTTGAACGTTTTTTCGTATCATTTAGAAAGCAAAGCGTGAACTAGCATTATCCCAGACGGAACGAAACGTAACCGAATTAGTCAGTCTTAATAAAAATATTAATGATCAACACAAACGTTTTTTACCAAAATTAACAGCAACTTATTGTCTTTCGTTGATGAGAAATAAATGCAAAGAACCGTAAGTTTAATTGGCAAATATTTTGTTTATACACTGGTCAAATTATGTTTTTTTAGCTCATTTAATCCAATAGATTACATACCAAAAGAATGTTTACATGGGATTATACTACCCTATCATCTAAAAATGATCTTAGAAAAATTTCAATTAGATGATTTATTATTAAATAATAATGACGAATTTCAAAAATTATGGTCCAAATTTGATTTAGACAATATCGGTCACGTCAAGACAAACGTATTGCTAAGAATGTTAGATTACAAACCAAACTTAGCTGATGAAATTGATCGAGATATTAGACGATTACTATCAAGAAGCTGCGTGATTGACAAAACAACAACAACTTTACACAGAAACAGAAGCCCAAGATCATCTCATACTAGAAGAAACAATTCTTCTCGAGAAAATTCAACGCCACCACCGTCTGTCATTGATCATTCATCACGTAAGTGTTCAAAGAGTAAAGAATTAGAAAAGAGGAAGAGAAAATTCTTTTATTTCAGCTAGAACAAGGCAAAAACACGATCATAATGAATCAATGGAAATAAAACCGGATAATGAAACGAGTATCAGAAAGGAAAATAAGAGTGAACCATCTCCCAGATTGCTGAGTACAAAATTTCGTATGATCGTTCAAAAACATCGTAACTTGACTAAACAATTGAATTCCAATGACCAATTTTTACCTTATCTTGATAGAAAAGTATGCACGTTTTGAACATTCGAAATGAAAGAGTGAATAGGATATTATTGTAGGTAAACGAGGGCTACTTTTGCTTGAAAACAGTATTTGATTATTTGGATTCAGATAAAACTGGTTTTGTTACCAAACAATTATTTATTGCTGCACTAAATGAATTTGATATACCGATATCACACGAGAATCTAGATCGTTTTCTACAAAAGTAAGACAAAAAAAAGATGTGTTTACTTCCGTGTAAGGCTAAACAATCATTTTCTTAGGCATCATTATCTGACAAATAAAAATAATATGGTCGATTATAATATAATTTTAAAATATTTTCAAGATCGTTCTGGTTCAAGTTTTCTTGCTCAAACAATAAACTCCTTTAGCTCACAACAGTAAGATTAAATATTTTGATTGTAGATATAAATTTTTTTGAATTAAATTTAGATCGATAATGAAATCAGAATTTAGTTATATAGAAAACGGTTTAATTGATTTAATGCATAGAATATTTTTATCGTTGACAGCTGCATTCAAGTAAGAACACAAGTTGATTTCACACTGTAAAATGTAAGTGCTATACAAAAGAGAAAAAGTAGGATATTTAGTCCTGAAAAAGATGCGGGCTGCTTGTTTTTCCTCTCTTCTAGTATCATTTGTTAAAAACTAAATATTTGTACTTGTCGATTAACAAGATTCGATTTCAACGTAAACTAGAGTCATTATCAACATCATAGAGAAAACAACGAATACAGCTATGTTATTCCTCTTTTTTTCTTAAATGCATATCCATTCTCATACGAAAATCGTTGTACACAACTATGGAGTCTTATTTCTGAGTTTTCTCTAGGTTACTAATAATGATTCTAGTTTGAAAGTTCTTATATTTTGTAAATAAAAGAGAAGATGTAATTAGATATTTGTTGATGATTTAGATATTTATCGAATGATAGTAATGATTTATGTGCAGAAAAAGAATTTTATACAATTATTAAAAAAGAATTGAATATTAATGAGAATTATTCGTTCACTAATAAACAAAAAAATGAAATATGTAGTGTACTCGATTGGCATATTGAAATGACACAAATACCATACAAACGATTCTTACATTATCTTGCTAAATCGTAAGTTAATAATAAACAGCACATCAATTTTCAAGAGTAAAACTCCAAAACAAACGGTGAGGAGGTTCCATAATCTACATTCATTTCTTTCTTTGAATCTACTGTCTATTTTTAGTATTACCTGTTAAAAAAAAGGATAATTAATCCTTGACTAATTTATGAAGAACTTTTGAACAATGATCGATAGAGGACTACGGTTTTTACCATTAGAAAGAGGAAACTTGACCTAATACAAAAATATTTAAAAATCTTTTTCGACAGTAAGGCTTTCAATATATTTGTTTTTCTATATAGATAGTTACCCCAAAGTGTCCTTTCCAAAACAGCAGTCAAGTGAAAAATTCATAAACAACTCAAAATCAGTTTAAATGATCAAAGTCTTGACAGGATACTCAGTTTTACATGCTGAACATGGTTTTAAAATTGATCTAAGCAAAAAATTTATTCTTGTTGATAAAGTTTTCTAAATGAAAAAACAGATAAAAAAATTAATGTAGTTTTATCACGTCTAAACATTGGAGTACATAAATTGTATGGTAAAAACTACAGTCCATCATTATCTATAATCTTTCAAAAAATATTCAAAGAATAGTCATGGATTATTCTTTTTTTTAATGCGTAATTGGTCAGAATTTTTAGTTTATTTTCTCAACAGTGATGTTTAACTGTACGTCTTTTTTAAAATCTTTTTCATCTACAATCTGTATTCGTGTCGGTATATATTTTTGTCTATTAATCAGAAACCTAAACGGTCTCATTTATAATTTTAGAGTGGAACTAACAAACCAAATATTCGATAAACATTTTATTGAAAAATCTATTCCTCCACGTAGTGAACATTCCGAAGAAATGAATAGTGTCAAGTCGCAAAGAAAATTAGTTTACGTGAGTAGTGTGGATTTCTGACTGTTATTAACAATAATCGTAATAAACCTAAATCTATCATTATAGATTGAAAAGATTCTCAATGATTTGGTTCGTTTACGAATCCATACATTGACAAAAGCTTTCGCTCAAATCGATCAACCAAGAACTGAAATGATAAACAAAGAACAATTTCTGTTTTTACTAAAAAAGTACGTTACACTATTTCTTATGTAATAGGTTAATTAATGACTTACGAGCGGACCTCGCGAACTGTCACATCGCTTTTTCGGCCAAACCTAGTGGGGTATAGGTTATCAACCATACTGAATTCGAATATCATAGTAGTAGATGTCCAGGGCCTTCAGTGAGCGTTTTTCTGGAAAATGAGTTTTTTAGAAACTCTGAAAAGTAACCAAAATCTTTCTTAATGTGGCATGACTGTAGCGCGCAAATTTCTGATTAAAATGAGACATCTGCCAGCTCTGCACTACCTTTCTTCGCAAAGTTATAGAATTTACAAAAAAAGCCGTGAATGTTCATTATCAGTTCAAAGCTACAGAAATAAGAAATTAATTTATGGACTTTTCTTGTAAATTCTATAACTCTGCAAAAAAAGGTCGTGTAGAGCTGGCAGATGTCTCATTTTAATCAGAAATTGCGTGCTACAGTCATGCTACATTAGGAAAGATTTTAATTACTTTTCAGAGTTTCTAAAAAACTCATTTCCCAGAAAACCGCTCTCTGAAGGCCCCTGGGCAGCTACCACTATGATATTCGGATTCGGCATAGTTAATAACCTAGAACCCACTAGGTTTGGCTGAAAAAGCGATATGACAGTTCGCGAGGTCCCCTCGTTAGCTGTACTTATCGAATTTGTACAGAATCTTCCAGTTACTACACTACACTGTTCAATCTCCTATCCATTTTATTTGATTCTTTATGGTTGATGATCTTATATCGTTTGTCTAGAATGTCAACTGATCTGACGAAAGCCGAAGTTGATATGATTTGGATAGCAAGTGGTTTTGATCCAAATAAATCAATACCATTTTCAAATTTAATCCGACAACTGGTTATGTTCAATGGAATTGATGAACAAAAAATTGTAAATAAAGGTAAGAACAATGTTCATATGTGTTTCTAGGAGATAAAAATTATTGTTTAGTTTAATATTCTTCTAGAGAAGCATTCAAATTCATTACAAAGTCGATTATTATCAACTGTTACTACACACTCAATATCTTCGTCGACAACTGTTTCAATGTCAGATATTGATTATTATGCCATCTATGATCGTATAGTTCCACATGTAATGAATAATACTCTTTAATGTTCTTGTTTAGAATTCCATAAATTTACTTTTGTTTAAGATTCGTCTACATTGGGATGGTATTAAACAAGATTTAATTCAAAATGATGAAAATTGTACTGGTTTAATTTATTTTTCAGCGTTACTCGTTAGTATTACATTCACTCGTTATCTCGATTTGACATGAACGTTGTACTTATCGACTTTTTTTTAGGATATTTTTCAACGTTATTCTATACCAATAACAGAAAAAGAGCTGGGAGCTTTGGTTCGAAAAGATAATCCAGACAATTCATCCAAAATACATTATCCATTTTTCATTAAAAAATATCGTCCAAATGCGAAAGAATCGAAGAATAAAGTAATTAATAAAACAATACTTGCAGACAACAATAACAATATTCATATCTTTTTCCATCTGTTTAGAGTCCATGGTCAATTGTGCATCCTATTTATGATCAATTAATAAACAGATACCATATGAAAGTAATAAACTATATTGATACGATTTTAAAAATTGAAAAAAAGTCTATAATTTTAGAATTCAAAGGAATTGTATGAACAGCGAATACAGGTTGGTTGTTTTTCTCTTTTATCAAAATACTTTTCTTTTGCTTTTATCGTTATGTGCAATAACAATCAATTGATTTTCGTATTTCAGCGATACTGCAATTTAATTTCGTGCACAAGCTAGTGTGTGTGTATGTGTGTTTCGTTTACTGTTAATGTATATTTGTACACGCTAATATTCGCACCTTTCACCAAATGTATTGGAATTGTTCAAGATATGCTTTCTTCAAATCAATAATAAGATCAATCTTTAATATTAAGAAATTTGAACAGGGTAAGTAATGTCAAAATTTAATTTATAACTTAATAAATGACTATTCGTTTTAATCCTGAAGTAATGGTGCTGTTCTTTTTGCATATTTTCTGTAGGATCCAAAAGATTTGAGATATTTAATACGATTATTTATATCATATGATACAAACAAAAAAGGTTAGTGATTTTTCTCAATGTTAAACTATCGATTGACACAGAATATTCTAGAATTTACCATTGGCACCGATATTTTTGCGAGATTAATTAATGAATACTTTTATCATACTTCTTTTAGGTTATTTGACTAGTGAAGAATTCCATCGGTTGTTAACTGATAACGATATTCAGTTGTCTTCAACTGATGAAGTTTATTATCAATTATTCAGTGTACATGATAAAAAATTGAAAGATCAATTTAGTTATAAAGATTTATTTCGTACATTCATTGAAACAATTATGTCCTATTAGAAGAGTTTTAAATTTATTTTCCACAGGTTTTTTAATTTTGCCACACATCTGTTTTATACTTTTTTTCTCTTGGTTTTAATAAACTATTTATTTACCATTTTGTATTTCTGTTTTTCTGCAGTCTAATATATAAATTAGTAATTTAAAGAGTATGCTTATATGCTTAGTTGTTCAAATAAAAAGAGAAAAAGTCACAGAGAATTACAACAACCCGTAGAAGACGATCGAATTTTTCTTACAGCGGTCATAATCCTAGCCACGGATGACATATCTGCATTGCCACGATAAATAATCATTTAAAAATTTACGTCGTGATTTCTTTAAAACTTTTTATTATGGATTCTAGTTCATGCAATCTAAAAAACGTATGAAACTTATCTTTGGCGTATAATGTAATATATCGCAAAAGTACGCAACGTATCATTTCTGATCATATGTCAAATATCAGAATTTTTCATCCATTTCATTACTATATACTCAAAGTAATTTGGACGGGTTTCCATTTTACAGATACACTTTCTTCATTTATTTCCTTAAGTCTAATTATATACGTTACAGGACAAAGATGGTTACCAGATTATCCTCTATTGCTTTTTATCAAAGAGACATAAGCAGATAGATGCCGCGTTCAAGCGTACAGAGCTGTGCCGTTATAATATATCGCTACTATGCCGTTGTTTGCTCAAATTTTAGCGAAAACTGGCTCCGTTAGAACCGCAGAATATATATGGCTAATTTTAGTAAAAAATTATTGAAAAATATCATTTTCTCTTTCTCTACAGTAAATAAAATATAATCGATTGAGATGCGAATGAAGTTTCAGATTAGTAGATCTTTTATCTAATAATTAAACATTATCAGAAAATATTGTTTTGAATAATTGATCAAATAATCAAAGTATTTGGCACGTGAACTAAGATGAAAAAATGTGGTCATTTTGTACACTTTTGCATTTTTGAGCAATCCAAAATTCTTTGGGTGAAAGTTTTGAGTTTAAACAAAAACAAAGTGAGCTTTCATTTCCTGTTTTCATCTCCTTCGGATAAGCTACGATTACCGAGATCTTCACAAAAACAGCGTTTTCTGTAGTAGAATATCGGGGATCTCGGTAATCGTAGCTTATCGGAAAGAGATGAAAACACGAAATGAAAGTTCATTTTGTTTTTGTTTAAACTCAACACTTTCACCCAATGAATTTGAGTTGCTCAAAAACCCAAAAGTGTACGAAACAAACACATTGTTTTCATCTCAGGAGGTCGTTTCACGAAAAAACGTAAGTCTGACTTAAGTCAAAAATGATAGAAAGATCGCGTTTAATAGAAAAACTTCCGAAAAAGTCTGATTTTTCACTGAGTCAGACTTTTTTCCAAAGTTTTTTCTTGAAATGCGAGCTCCAGTGCACTTAACGTCCCAGTACCTCCACGACGATTTTTATATAATCTGGTAAGTAAAGAAGTTTAAAGCGTTGTCCTATATGATTCTTTACTAGTAATTAGAAAAGCAAACATTTTTCTACCAAACTGAAGATGTCGCTTCTGATCAGGAGTCAGTTTTTTAAAAAGACTGACTTAAGTCATAAAAGACAAAGAACTTTTTGGACTTGGAAGTTTTTTTATAAAACTGACTCCAGCACATTTATTTGAATACAAATGATGTTGTAATACTATATTGACCAATTATTTATTCACCAACAGTTTCCCGAAATGAATAAAGGGCGAATCAAAAGCACATAGTTCAAGCATTGAGTTGATTTTTTTCTGCAATGTCGCACCTTTGAAGATGAGTCGTTAGGTTTGCGTATTTACTAATCTGTATAGGAATCGGAATAGGAAGAAAACACTTGGTGATGTTTATTGTAACCAACTTTTCTATTAGCATACGTGGCCTAAGCTTTTCTTAAAAAAGTGTTGTGATTGTTAGATATTCTTGAAAGAGACAACAATAAGGTGTCTCATTCTACATCATTCAGTCACTAAATGAGTTTGGATGATAGACATATGTACAACTGAATGTATATTCTGTAATATTATAATACTTTTTTTCTGTTCGTTCTCATATGTATTTTATGTTGCTGTATAGCAGGTGTTTCAGTAGTTATAGGTTAAGAAAATTTTTAAGCTCTTTTCTCGCTGTTGAATGGTATTAGAATTTAGTTTAGTTCATGACAACATTAAATTGAACGTCGTTTTTTTTTTCGTTGGAACGAAAAGAGAATACGGTATAATTCAAAGGAGGATTAATCATAAATTCATTTCAAACTATATATATGTATATATTGAACAAAATGTATGTATATTTCGGAACGACATCGAAAAAGAAAAGGAAAAATCATTTTAAATACAGTAGACAGATAGAATAGAAATGAAATTGGCCGTCGGTTTTGCCTTTTTTTTCGTCTAAAAGTTTCTCTCTTGTACACGTATGTGTTCAAAACAAAGACCAGTATCTTCACGCAGAGAATGAATATGCATATGTGTGTGTTGACACTGATTGAGAAAAAAGAAAAAAAGATCGAATAATGGAAGCTAGATAAAGATAGACAACAAAAGTAAGTTGAAGTAAAGCTAGTTGTAGATGAATTTTTTGGAAAATTAGTGACATAAAAGGTAGAGTTTATGAGAAAGAAGAACATAAAAAAAAGTCTTTGTTCTCCTATAGAATTTTATTGAACTTTTTTCTCGAAAAATGCATGGATACAAACAAAGTTCTATCCGCCGTTTTTTGAAGATACCTTTGATTCCTTCTATCGTAGAAATAACAGTAGCTATCTTATTAGGATGAATGCTATTGGTAAAGCATTGACTATATGCATGTCCTGTTACTTGAGTTTTTGTCAAATGTTATGAAATCGAATGGTGTAAAGCAAAATAACAGATTGTGCCGTATAATCAGTTTAAGTTGCCCATGTCATCTTCCTTATTCATTTTTCATTTCATTGATTGTAACAAGTTTCGTAAACCCATTAAACTCTTTCGGTGCCGAAAAGATAAAATGAAGTCAACTATTTTTATTATACAAAACGATGTAACATGGAAAAATAAAAATCCATGAGTCGACCAGTGCCAGACTTAAGAGAGATGCGATCGCATCCCTTTTCAAAATATATGTAGAAGAAAAAAAACAGACTGTTAATATTTTCAGCCTAAAACGTTCAAGGAATTGTATTTCCGTTCAAAAATCATGACTCCGCTACTGGAGTCGACGAGTTTTCTTTCAATTTATTATATTAATTCAAATTTGCGTGTAAGAAATAAACATCTATGTGAGTATTGAAAAGACTATCTCCCATATCGTTTGGAGGAATATGTATATATTATCTTTTATACTGTAAACTATTTTTCTATTTTCTGTAGATACTTTTAATATGCATGGATGTCGTAAGGTGAAACTGAATAACGAAGATTATTGATAGAATTTGGCAATATATCAGTTTTATTCTAAATATTGAACTTTTTTCTAAATCAATTAACATAATTAGAGGATTGTAAATCATGAGAGTTTTATTATTTTTCGTATCAATTGAAATTAGTATTATGTGATTTGGAAAAAAAGAAAATGATTAATGACGAACTGTACTGCTTGTTGTTCATGCGTGACTAAATCACTTTTTTTGGATAAAAGTAGATAGATAGCAAAAGACAATTTACGGTAGTGTCAGTAGTATTAAGAATTTTCACTTGCAAGTTAGATCATGTGATCATAATCTACAAATTCCTTGAATACACTCATTCTTTGACTGGCACAAACAGAAGTTATATCCGATGAGTACTAAATAACATTGAAGTTCTCACTATGAGGATTTGTACTTTTAGAAATTTATCTTTTAAATGTATTATTACTATGAAGTTAAGAAAAAAGCCATCAAATTTATTTTTATATCTACATGTATATTTAAAATGATTATTCGAAGAATAAATTCATGATTTCGAGACGGTAGGTTGAGGTGTGAAAGCACATTGAAATTCCATATTAATTTATTGTTTTTCTTCTTTCAGAAGAAGTTGCACATTAAGCAGTTATGATGGAACGAACAGTGATGAACAGCAATCGGAGACAGACGAAAACAGAACAATGTCATCCTCGTCAATTGTTCAAGTAAAGAAGAATTATAAAAAATGGACGAAAGAGGAAGTAGGTGAAATTTTGATATGTATCTCTTACGTATTAAAACTAACAAGTGGATGTCGTGACTATTCTTTCAATGATATTTAATGTGTTAATTGAATATGACAGGTAACAATTATTTATAGCCTATGATAAACGTATAATACTGGAGGATAAAAAAACGGATACTTAAACATGTGTATAATCTGACAAGTGCATTATTATTCAATTAATAATTTAGTTCTTTTCAAAAAATTTATGAATCTAGTACATAGATTAAAGTGTTTGTTCTTAGGATCAAAAGTTACGTGAAGGTTGTGAACGTTTTGGTGAATATAATTGGAGTCAAATAGCTAATCATGTTGGTGGTCAACGGACGGAGTCGCAATGTCAGCATCGGTGGGATCGTGTTTTGAATCCAAGTATTGTAAAAGGGCCATGGACAAGCGAAGAAGATAATAAAGTCCGTGATTTAGTAGAAAAATATGGTCCACGTCAATGGAGTTTAATTGCAAAACATTTGACAGGACGAGTTGGAAAACAGTGTCGCGAACGGTAATATGCAACTCAAAATTATTTTCTTTATAATCATAACGCTTAATCTTTAGGTGGCACAATCATTTAAATCCAAACATCAATAAAGCACCATGGACAGATAAAGAAAATTTACTTATTTATGTTTTACATAAACGCTTAGGTAATAAATGGGCTGAAATAGCACGTTATCTGATGGGTCGTTCTGATAATGCAATTAAAAATCATTGGAATTCATCAATGAAAAAAAAGTTTCAATTAGAAGAAGAAAATTTGACTAAGCAAGGTCTCGATTGGACAGCCATGTAAGTAATGATAGATATAGATAGCATATCTATCTACCATTGATATAAACTCGTTTAGGTTACCACCTGATTTTAAATGTCCAGTTCCACTGCAGTCAATCTGTTCATCGCCGTTGAATAATAAGACATCAGTACCATCTTCACCGAGAACACCATTGGGTGTTTTGACAAATAATTGTCGACAAGGCTATCAGCATACTCAAACGGATTCACCGCTCGCTCAAAACATGAACGTCATTAAACAGCCACCGTCGTCATCGCCTCTAAATAAACCTTGTAACCAGCCAACACAAACCATCTGTCATTCTCCTTGTATCATCAAACAAGAATCAGAAATAATTATTCGAACAAATACTTCAACATATACAACCAGTATCAGCGATACTTGTGCTCTGTCATCACAAAGATCCGATAATTACAATCAAAAACTTTCATCGACATCGGATAATTATCTTCCGTTATGTAGTTTTTCTTCGCAGTCACAAGAATTACAACGGCAAACTTCGTATTCATCACAGGTGAACGATTATTTTATATGAAACATATAGTTAAATTTTTGTGACTTTTGTTATCTTTTTCAGCCAAATCCAATGAGTTCCAGTCAACAGTGTTTATCTCAAACTTCAATACAATCAGACGAGTTGGCTCAACTGCTCTACTGTACTCCTCCTTCGCCACCCAAACAATTGCCCATGTTATCGAGTTACACGCCACCAGATCTTTCTATACAATCCCAACACCATCATCATATGCCATTAGTTCATTCTTCATCTGGCTTTTGTCCTGCTGATTATATTCAACATCTTAATATCATTCACAGACGGCACGATCAACTTCTTTACCTGTTGGCCGACATAATTCCTACTTATTTTACGATTATGATATTAATAATCGTTGTCCACAAACATCAAATAAACAACCAACGTTTGGCGATCATATATTGTTTGGGAACAACAATATAAACAGTGATTCATTTTCGATGGATTTTTGTGTATTGAATAATGATGAAACTGTAATGATCAAAGATGAAGATAAATTTCCACTGATATTAAGTCAACAAATTGGTTCATCGTCCACACATCGTTGTAGTATGTTCTCGGTGTTTTTTCTACCTAAACAGAGAATCTATTTCATTTGTTTTTATTCCAGAATCACCGAATACCAAATCAAATTCGTCGTCACCATCCAAAAATAAAGTTTTAAATACACCAAAACGGTTGGACCATGTAAGTTCTCTTTTAGATTATGCATTCTGCTTAGTAATCTGATATAAACTTTTTAGCCACGACATTCAATTTTAACTCCTAGTCCAAAAGAATCTGACAATGAAACCGTTTTATCAATCTCTTTGTCGTAAGCTAAATAATTCCAAATATTTGTGCATGAATTTTGGTTTGATAATATTTTTCAATTTTTAGCCAACTTCTTCAATCGCAGACAACAGAGTTTTCAGACTATAGCAGAGACATGGTGTGTTTTGTTGCTTCTATTTTGAGGTATTAATAGAAAGTAACTTTTCTTTTTTGTTGTAGAGTCAAAAAGAAAATTTTACTACTATACGAAAACGACGAATGATTCATAAACCATTGCGTAATTTAACCAACAATGAAGTCGACATAAACCGAAAAACATCTTCGTTATCATTATCATCGAGCTTAGTTACCGATCAAGAACAAGTAACAATTAAAGCACGAAAACGTCAAAAGACACGTTCACAATCTCCAACGCCACTAATTCAATTCGATTCATCGAAAAAATTAAAAAGTTTATTTGGTGTATGTTGATCGATTTTATCCATATATACAGTTGAAATATTTATTACTAGGAAGCTCTATTCTGTCATCAGCAGTAGAGATGCACCGGTTACGGTTATAACCGAACAACCGGTACCGGTTGTAACCTATACCGGTTGCAACCGCTCATCGGTTAACCGTAACCGGTGCATCTCTAATCAGCAGCTATTTTTGTCACTATCATTTAAGAGATTAGAATTAAAACGTTAATTTTTATTTATTTCATTTTAGTATGTACCAACTTACACTGAAATAGTAACTGGTCGAACACGTGATCAATTATATGTCACAGATGAAGCTAGAAGGTTTCTTAATAATTCAAATTCTCATTTATAATATTGAATGAAATAGGTTATTTTTGTTCAACTTTTCTTTTTGCTTTTAGTTTTACTCTTCTGTTTTCTCTAAATGTTTATGTGTAGTTGAATATTGTTAAGCAGAAATACAGTTGATACTTCTTTTTATTTTCAAACTTATGATTGTTAGTATGTTGTTGTTGTTGTTATTGTTAATTCTCCTTGTATATAAACAAAAACACCCTCGTTATTTATTTGCTAGGGCACAACCTTTTTTTAAATTTTCTTTTTCTTAACTATAAATAGTGTTGTACAGAAAATATTCTGAATCGTTGTTGATTCTCTATGATCACAACTGTGTTTGTTTTGCTTTCTTAACTGAATAAAGTACTCAGTGATCTGTATTTTGTTTTTTATTTATCATTACACGTGATTACTTGTAGTGCGGCGTGGTTCATTCTTACTTTGCCACTCTTGTCTTTGTAAACTAACGAGTGGCCCATAATAAATATCACTTTCTACTTATAAAAAATTTCTTTTATATGCCAAACGATAGAGAAATTTAATTCTCTATAGGACTCTATACTCAATTTTAAGATTCATCTTTGATATTTGAAACAGTAAACTCTAACAAGAAAAGCTCCAAACTTTTTAACCCCATCAGACGGTTTTAAAGTGCAAACTGCACTTTTTTTCGTTATTTATAATCTGTACAAAAAATTTTTGAATAATTTTATTAACGTCAAATGATGCAGAATTTCATGCTTTCCAAAGTAGTTTACTTGAAGTTAATTTATTTCAAATGCTAATGGGTTTAATAGATAAACTTCCATCGTGCTAAAAACTATTTCAATATGAAATTCAAAGTTCATATCATTAATTTATAGACTAAACCTTGCAGAATTTCGTGCTCTATTACACTGTAACTTACAAAATAAAACTGCTACACTTCTACCTGAAAAACGAGGAAATACTAGATGTTGCTAAGCTGGGCTCAAAATAGGAGAAAATTACCTTTTTCAAAGGCTCTTTTTCGCTCGAATTTCATCTAAAAGATCATTATTTCTCATTAAAAAAGAACCATAAAACTTTTGTCGGCAGTTCTTTCCTGATATTTTTAAAAAACCTTGTTCTGTTTAATAAGTGATTTTTAGCGGGGTTTTGCGCAAAAAATCGGTTTTTTGAAGGTACATTCAAAGAATTTGGAACCTTTCTTGTTAAAGTTACTGCGCCAAGCATCAAAGATGAATCTTAAAATTGTCCTGTAGAGAATTAAATTTCTCTATCGTTTGGGATATAAAGGAAAGTTTTTTATAAATAAGGAGTGATAGAAAAATGCATTAGCATTTGGTTCAATTTGTTATGGGCCACGCGTTAAGTGAACAAGTAGAAAATCAAAGTAAAGGACAAATAAAGAGGTAATGATCATGGGTAAGTGGAACGTTTTATTATTTTTTTGAATGGAATGCACTTTCTAAAACGGCTATAGAAGCAGTATGTGGCTTTACACGAGTTGATGAGCATATTGAGCGCTTGGAATAGTTTTAACAGCAATTGAAGAATAGACAAACTCAATTCTTGTATTGATAACCAAGGGAATCGAGTACACTTTACTTTTGTACAAGCCTACAGATATAAAATCTGACGTTAATACTCTATACAATAATAAACAGTTTATTGATATTATAGTCACATCTGTTTATTCGCAGAGTTGGATGAGCTGAGTTCTTCAGCTGTTGTCTTCAAACGTATATCCATTTACTACAGTATTTGTAGTTGACATCTATCACAGTTGACAGACTATAAGTTAGCATAGCACTGAGTGGCTTCTATAATTTGGGATAAGGATGTACCAAGTCTTGGGATCGGATCTTAAAGGGTGATTATTTTCGATACTCAGTACTTCCAAGCTTTACCGAACTTATACGTCAAATTTAATGAGTTTTTTCTTCTCTACCTAAAATTAGTGATAGAATTGATAAAATTCAATAAAAAGACGCCATGCTTGATAAGGCTGAACGAAAACCCCAGAAAATTGGCAATTTTGGCCAAGCACTAATTTTAGATGAAAACAACTCATTAAATCTGACGCAGAAACTCAGAGTTTGGGTATATTGAATATCGCCCTTTAAGATCAGATCTCAAGACTTAGCTCAATTAGGAGGAATACGAGGACGAAGAAACTATTGTTTGATAACAATGTTTTTTTGAATTGTACTTGATTGTTGCAGTCATTTCACAGTTAAGTTTAGTCAAAATATTAGCTCTTAGCTCCTAGAAAAATAAAAATTGAGGATACGCTCTCTTTTTCCCTACGGTGGACTGGTCGAGCAAATTCCAGAAAAGTGATGATTGAGTACAGTGGTGTATCCCTGAAGGGACATAATACGACCAATTGTCTTATTAAATAGTGAGAGTATTGATGAATGCCTAGTTTTCCCAAGAGAATACCTCAGTGTTGCCCAGAAATAGTTGATTTGAGGAGGTAAAACGGAAATAAGAAAACTCGTGTCATCAGTTGGAATGTAGAAAAAAACCGTTTTTTGAATACTCAGTCACCCATTTGGAGCTACTCTGTATTTTACGCATAGCATTCGACTTTCGCATGTGCTAATACAACATGGAATACTTTTCTTCTACACGATTGAACGTCCAATCTTTTCTTCAAAGGATAAGTTCTAAGAAGCGTAAGTGCTTGAAATAAATAGCAAATATGGGGAGACTGCCATTTATTCTGGACCACTCCAGATAAAGGCAATTTAGTAATGAAAAGAGCACGTCATTGGCAACACACCTAGAAAAAATTTGTCAAAAAAGAGTTGTAAACTTCATCCGTCTTCAACCTCATGTTTCGAACATATATTTTCGATTTTTACACCATAGGCTAGACATACACCAATTCTTTTTTGAAGATTATTGAAAAAAATGACTAGTTCTAAGACTATTTGTTTTATATGTTTTTTGCATACATAAGATTGTTCGGCAGGTTTTTCTCTTCAAAATGTTAACAAAGTTTGTATTTGCATTTGCGAGGGCGAAAACAAGAAAAATATTAACCAATTCCAACCAATTCCCCACCAATTCCAATTTCAATTCCACTTTTTAAAAAATAGTGCATAATGTTTAATCTAATGCTGCCGCAAACTTTCTAAATAGCCTGTTTTGTAGAGAAAAGCAGCGTGCCCGATAGCCTATGTACCATGTGTTTTTAAGGTTCCTAGAGCGCAAGTTTGGTCAATAGATAGATCTTCGGAGATCGCCTGTAGCATCCGAATCATGGTAGATGGAGGTGTCCGCCTTGCGCCAGGTTAGAGAGCAACTGCTCTATACTCACACATATTTAGAGCAATATCTCAGCATGTGGATTTTTGGAATGACAGGCTCAGACTTTCTGCTTCGAAAGGTGCACCGTGATAGACCTGTCGAATAAGACTTATTTTAACATAAGATTATGCCTCCAGGTGTCCTCTTTCATAATCTCAAAACCGCAGCTGTTTAGCTCATTCCGTTCTCGAGTTATTCAAAAAACATCCATGGCCGCTCTATTCAGAAATTAATAGTAGAAACTCCGTTTGCCTAAAACCGAATACAAATAACTGCTTATGGGTAACATTTTGAAAAGGCAAATACAAAAATTTATAGCGCTTGGAAATCTGTCGAATAACGTATTACTTCAGTTTCTAATAAACCATTAATTTACAAATAAAAATGTAAGGCACCAGAGCGATACTAATTAGTATTCATTAGCATGGTTAATTATAAATTATTATCTTAAAAAAAATTTTTAAAACTGTTTTCATAAGACCATAACAACAGACCATTGGGTATCAAACAATGCATGAATGACTTTTCTACGATTATTTTCGACTGTGCTGCAAGTTAGTTAGAATTATTTTAATTAAAATTAGACTTAAGTAATTAATTAATAACTCTATGAAGAGTTATCAGTTCACCGAAAAAATTGAAAGATATATGTAATCAGGTGTTCTCTTCAAACTGACATAGTTTGAGGGTGCATATAGTGGATGTGGACCCCAATTAAACACATTAAACACTAAAATACATTCGCAGGATAGATAAGAAGAGAGACCGAGTTCGTGAAGCTGTCAAGAGTATGGCAAAATTTTCACGTGCATCTCAGAAAGTATTTCAACTTTCGGCGAATCGAATGGTGTATAATAAGTTGAAATTCTCGTTTTTATTCATAAAGATATTGTCATTTTAATCTCACGGGACATTTTTCTAGTAAAAGTGTTTTTTCTCAGGGACAACAAAATATTTTAAGCCTCAAATTTGGGTATATACTCTACGCCATTGGAGAAACAAACGATAAGAGTATCGCCGAGAAAACTTGAATATTAACGGAGATTTCGGAAAAATAAAATCGAACATCTCACATTTAGTGTGCGAAGCTCGTTTTTGGAAAAGCAATTGTCACTTTTTGCAGTAAGAAGAACATTGGTCTTTTACTTCTTTTTATCAAAATGATTCTCAAACTGTGGACTATCTTTTGGGTATTTACGATAAAGACTACGTTTAATTTTAGCTGAGACACGCGAGATTCAATCTCACGGGACAGAAAAAGACGAAAGTGTTTGTAACAACAATATTTTGATTTATTTGTATAGAAAAGTGCAGTAAACCGTTACTCCATTTACATATTTTGAGAAACTTCTACTTCAAGTTATTCATAAA